ATTTTAAATGCATTGTTCAGATATTGACACATGCTAAGTGCTAGCATTTTGTAATAGTTTGTAAGGTAGATATAAAGATCCAGAAGAGGTCCATAAAAGGAGTCACAGGAGTATTTGTGTAAAATAATTATTTTCACTACTAGTATAGTAATGTCTCTTAAGAAGGCTGAAGAGAAGCTTCACAGGCAGTTAGCGGAATCTAATAAATTGTATAAGTTTATTTATTTATTTTTTTTACAAAAGAAGGATAAGCAAAAAACAGGCATTGAATGCCAAGTACCAAAATACCTGAAACATGACTTATGTACCACACCTTCAGCTCTAGAGAAATGTAAATTACAACATTTCTTTAACCATTTCTGAACATTTTATTTAATAAGAAAAGTTAAATTTTACTACGCATGACAATAGCTAAAGTTTAACTACTGTAAATACCAGTTTTGACAAAAAAATAATACTAACACCAGCTGAAAATTTTACATTATTTGTGGCAGTGCAAAATGATAACATCATTTTGGAAAATATCTGCTTTATTAGATAAAGTAGCCATACATGTACAAGGCCTAGCAATTCTATTCCTGAAGTGTGTCTGAGAGAAATGAATACTAGATACAAAATGTGTCCAAAAACATTTATAATTGTCTCTAGTTGGTTATAATTTTTATGTTACCAAATGGATAAAAGCGGAATAAAATTGTTCATGAGATGGATAGGACAATGAAATAAAAGAAATTTCTGATACATGCAATAAAATGGATGAATCAAACATAAAAATAGAAACTGCATAATTTTATTTATATTGTATTTTAAAATAGAGAACAAATTCTGATACAAATGGAGGCCAGAATACTGCTTCCCCTTGTGAAGGAATGTTAATTGGGAGGGATGCAGAGCATGTGTTCTGGAATGCTAGGAGTATTTTAAATCTTTATTCTAGTGGAGTTTTCATGGTATGTACATGACTTGTTTTAGTCCCATCTTTCATAGTTGTTTCTAAAGACCCAACATGAACAATTGTAGAGGAGGAAATTTTTATTTGAGGGCTCACAGTTTCAGAGATCTCAGTTCCTACACAACAGGCTCCATTTTGGTGCTCAAGGTGAGGTAGAACATCATGATGGAGGATTAGAAGGCAGAGAGAAAGACTCCAGGATCAAAATAGAAAATGAATACCCAAAGCCATGACCCCAATGCCCTCCTTCTCCAGCCACACCCTACTCACCATCAGTTACCATTTAGTTAATACCTATCAGGGGATCAATGCACTGATTGGATTAGGACTCTCACAGACTCATCATTTCTCCTCTGAACTTCACATGTGAGCTTTTGGGGGACTCCTCACCTGCAAACCATAGCATTCCTGCTCTTAGCTGTGATTTGAGTTGGAAACTGAAGATTTCTCTATATGACTGAATAAAACATACATTTAAATGAAAAAGAATAGAAACAGAAAAGAAAAAGTCATTTTAACAAATTGCAACATTATGAGAAAGGGAGGATTAATTCATTCTAGAAAATTAAGACTGAAACCCAGACTATTATGGCTTGAAAGTAGGCATCAAATGAGTATGCAATGAGAGGCAATACTACTCTTGATGAATTTCAAGTAGCCCTAAATTCCACGTGTACTTGTTATAGCTTAGTTCCTGAAAAATTAGATCTAATATTTGATATTTCAGTACAATATAAATTTATTTTACTCCAATATTAGTTATGAACAGTATGATTCCAATCAGAAAGGTAGTTCTTCATGTGGTTACAAGGGATACACATCAATATAAAACTCAGAGCCTAATCACTTCCATTCACATGCCATCAGTCAGAGTAAGACAGATGGCCCCTCTTAGTTAAAGGAGAGGTTGGAAGTGTAGTTTAGCTGTGTCCAGAAAGGAAGGAAGAGTAGATTTTTTATGTTAATATGTAGGTATGCATTTCAATAGGCATTGCAGAATCATTGAAGCTTACTTTCCAGCTGGGAATGACAGAAGCAAAGTCAAGTCAGAGAAAAAATATATTTTCTGTGCAATTATCTAAAAGAGTTGAGAGTGCTCTGTGAAGAACTTTTTCTCTGTTGATCTTAGTGTTGAAAATTATTGTCAAATGCCAAGTGGATTTTCACTCCTGCTCCTGAGCTAATGGCATATGGTGACTGTCATACAACCACCATCAAACCATTAGCTAAATTACTAAATACCCATTGCCATTGTTCCTGGGAAGCTAATTTTACCACCTTTCAACACAAGCACACCTTATTAGATTGTATATTAGATTCTAAATTTTATGTTGATATGAAAAACAAAGGAATTCAATCTCCACTGTGACATGCCAGAGGACATAAGGAGATAGAGGAACTTAATCCTACCGAGAGGTTGATTGGGTTTCTTTCTTTTTTTCTTTTTAACCTGTTTGACATTTTGACAATTACTTTTCCTGTAACTGCAGAAAAAGGTTAAGCTTATAATGTATTTTCAGATGCCAGGTACTTATCTACAACCATTCAAACACACCTACGTGCAGCTTTTAGAAAGCCTTAGGTATCTTTCAAAGTAATTCAAAGATTGAATTTTCTTTGTCTAGAATAATATAAAGAAATTGCAGTGAATCACAGAATGATAAAACCTCCACATAAGATGATCTTTGGAAAGAACCTCACCCAGCTCTCCGCTAAGTGCAAATTGATTCCCTTTGGCATCAGTGTTGATGAGTAGGTGTGTCACATTCTCAGTGTCAGAAAGTTCATTGTGAGGGAACCCAGTGAACCTTCCAGAATTCTAGGTGACAATCATAAGATTAGGTTTCAATGCTCTTCACAATGAAGAGCGTATTACGAACACAGCAGTAACACTGAAAAAGGACAAGTTAGCTCTTAATGTTTGTGTGCCCTACCCATTTATTGTTACAGTGATCATTTTGAGGCTAGAAGGTTCAAATATTCACAAAATAACTTCTCATTTGTTTAAATAATTGAAAATACATTTATAAATGATTGAAAATACATTTATAAGATATGCCTTGATACCTCTATTAATAGAAGGCATGTGTGAGAAAAGTAAAGGTATATAGTTCTTCAAAATGGCATAAAAATGTAGATGATTTTGTAGTATTTATGTGGCATTATGATTTCTGAAAAAGTCCAAATTCTCGGGTAGTGATGACTCATTACGTTCAGTCAAGTAAAAAACTTTGGAATTATACTTGACTCCTATTTCTACTGAGGAGCAAGGATTAAAATTATCATGAGTCCAGAACGTAAAATATTGCTTAACACCTTAAATGATGACCATGAATATGAAAAAATATGTGTGTGCGTATATGTATACACATATGTATATAAATCTACATCATTTAAGGTGTTAAACAATATATATATTTATATATACACACATACACACTCACACACACACATGTATATTGAATTTTTCAAGTAATGGTTTTATTATAGAAAGTTGTGTTTTTCCCAACAAATTCTTAAATAAAAGGCATGGAAATAATTTAAACAATAAGAGATATTTTTCTCTGTTATCTGGATATTTAAAATAAAATTGGTATTTAGTCCCTACCAAGATTTTTGTTATTGTTGTTAAGGCAAATAGAAATTGCATTTGTTTTCTATAGTTTCCCTTTGTGTATCTGAGATGTTTTCTTAGCTATATGAATTATATGGCTCAGTAGGTATTTATAAATTGATTTACAATAGAAAATAAAAATATTAAGATGCTGATAAAATTAATATAGGGTTAATATTAACACCCCCCAAAATCTTTCACTTTTTCTTTTAATTGGCTATTCTCTAATATATTTTTCTCACTTAAAGAGTAGTCTCTTTAAAAGTTTAATTTTGGGTTTGGGATGCAGCTCAAAAGCGGTAGAGCATTTTCCTGGCATGGTTGAAACCTTGGGTTTTATTCCCAACACTGAAAAAAATTAAAAATTTATTTTCTTTGGCCATACTTTTTCAGCTACTGTTATCAAATACAATTTTATAAACTCAGTATAGTAATCCCTTATTATTTGTGCTTAATTTTCTGCAGTTTCTGCTACCCTCAATCAAGTTCTGAAAAATATTAAGCAGAAAACTCTAGAATTATATAAGCCATAAGTTTTAAATTGTGTACTACTCTGAGAAACATAGTAAAATCTCATACTATTGTACCTGATCCTTCACTGAATTTGGTCATCCCTTTATCCTGTGTATCCACACTGTATGTATTACCCTCTTCTTAGTTATAAGCAATCTTGTGAATCTGGGTGGCATTGTTTTTCCTGTGTTTAATTAATCCTTATATTACTTAAGGATGGCTTCCAAGTACAAAAGTACTGATATTGGCAATTTGGATATGCCAAATAGAAGAATTAAAGTGTTTCCTTTATATAAAAAAGTGAAAGAATAATCAGATATTTTGAGAAAAGGAAAAAGAAATAGACTATATTCACATAACATATTACAACATATTATTATAACTGTTCTGTTTTATTATTAGTTATTCTTTTCTCTCATTGTTATGCTATTTATGATTTTAATATAATACTGTGAATATAGAAAAACATAGCATGCTTATGGTTCAGTACTAAGTACTATCTGTAGTTTTAGGCATTCACTGGGAGTTATGGAATGTTTCCTTCATGGATAAGGGATCTACTATATTAGCAATTTTTTTCTCCCTAACAAATAAACTATGCAGATGCTTCCTTGGCCAACAGGCACATTTTAATTTTCTATTTTTGTGAAGAAATTCTGCTCTGATGAAATACTTTAAATTTTCTAGTGTTTCTAACTTCTGCTTCCTGGTGAGTTGGGAATATTTGTTGAGTGAATTATTTGGTAATACTAATGTAAATTTTATTATTTTACCACATCTATACTGTCATTATATAACAGACTCAAATGTCAATAACAAACCACGTTGGAGACTACTGTGTCTTACAAACTAGTCATTCAAATTCTACTTTTTTTCTTAGGATTTTTGTTTTGTCATGATTGGTATGCAACATTAAAATGATATTAGATAAACTAAAACAAAATAAAGGCTAAAAAGGCTATGGCAAGACAGTACTGGAAAACTGTCAAGTTATTAGAGCAACATTTTGATTTGTAATGCACTAAATGAAATGCAAAGCAACATGTATTGCTTTTGTTTTAACAACTTTACTATTACAGAGCTTAAGCACCTGGACAGGAGTGAGTATAGCATTTTCCAAAACAACTTTATTTATACAAACTGAAATTGAATTTCACATCAGCTTTATGTGTCATAAAATATTATATTTCTTTTGATATTTTCACTATTCAAGTATGTCAAAACTATCCTTAACTTATGGCCATAACTAAATAGGCTGTGAGCTTAGTCCTGCAGGCCAGACTTGGGCAGCTCTTGAATTAAACTAAAGATTTGTGCCCAAGTAACTAAGACAAATTCAGATATGAAAGTGCTTTAGCTTTTTCAATTTTATAAAAATAGCAGAACAAATTCCAGTATTCTGAGGAACCAGAATACTGTTAAATACCCTGTTAAATCTTCATCCCTAAAGATTTAATAGGGATGAGAAGTCTGAAGCAATTCTGGTCTTCAACCCATAGTATGTAACCTTTTTCTCCTGCTCACTATAACGGCTTTAAGGTTTTCCCCTTACCCCCCATGCCACAAATATTCATGATGACATGTATGCCTTGATATGATTGTTTTTCTCATTATTTTGTGAGTTTAGGATTTTTTTGACTGATTCATTTATAAAACACATATTTTCTTTTGTTTTTTACAACTTAATCCTCCAAAATAGTTTGTATTTTACCCTTTACACCCTCTAAGAGCTTTGATGTATTTATGATATTTCAACTATATCCCCTTAGTGTAAACCAATGAGCAATAAAGAAATACATAAGTTGGAGGAGTTCTTAGACATCAAAAGACTAGGAGTGGAACCACCATATGACCCAACAATACCACTCCTTGGTATTTATCCTGAAGAATTAAAGTCATTGGGGCTGGGGTTATGGCTCAGCAGTACAACACTCACCTCACATGCACGACACCCTGGGTTCGATCCTCAGCACCACATATAAACAAACAAACAAATAAATAAAGTTATTAAAAAAATAATTAAAGTCATCATAGTACAATGATAATGCATATCCATGTTTACAGCAGCACAAATCACAATAGCCAAACAATCAGACCAGATTATGTGTCTATCAACAGATGAATGGGTAAAAAAAAAAATACGGTATATATACATAATGGAATTTCTTTCAACCATAAAGAAAAATGAAATTATGTAAACTTTCTTTTTAACATCTGCTCACTCCTTTTAAGCTCCTTCAAGTGGTTTCTCAGACACGTAAAGCACAATTGCTATAGAACACAATCTACATTAGCTGAACTGTAGTAATTATAAAACCAAACTTAACTCCTAGAACATCTACCATCTGATTGATTCACTTGTGCTGATTAATAATGAATACCTTTTAAGTATTTGAAGTTAGATATGTTCTCTATTTTATGTGCCAGTACAACTTAAATATTCACCTTTTTTTTTAAATTATTTCACTGCTTTCATAATACATGGATTCTAGGACCTCACTATCCTTCAACCAAACTCCTGACTGGCAGTTAGTATTTTCTGGCAAGTGTCAGTAACAGTCCTGTAGGAGAAGACATATCTTCATTCAGAAGTACAGGACATTCTCTACTTTGCTTTAGACCTCATAAAAAGATGTTCAAGTAATATTAGATTTTATATCACTTCATCGTAGCCTCATTTTGAAAATTACTCTCTTTGATAATAGGTATATACACCTAACATCTGCCTAAAAGTTCTGACAAAGTGGTATGCTCTCTACCTTATAAATTAGAAAACTTATAATCAAGGATGTTAAACACTTTGGCAGTTGCCACCACTTCTGAGATCCAAGATTTGAAATGAGGAGTCAGTCAAGTCATGTATGAAGTAACTTTTCCAAGATCCTAAATGAAAAACTGCAAAGTTTTCTTCTGAATACATCTTTAAAGGTATGAGCATTCGTATCAGTATTTCAAGGATGGATAACTAAATTTTATGACCTTAAAATATGACTTTTTTCTCTTTAATTACAGTGCCTTGTTGAATGAAGAGTTTAATTATAAACAGGATAGAAAATACTGCTCATGTTTAATTCACAAATTTTAAGCATGAGTTATCTCACATTTTAAAATATTGTCTGATAATAGCATAATTTATTCTCATTAAGCAGGATAGTACTTTTCATCCTTCTCAAATCTCAGAAGGAAAGGGATTCAAAGTATTTGAATGATACAAAGGGTTCTTGCATTTTAAAATCAATATAAATCAATTAGGTACATGGTTATATTTTTTCCTTGATAAAAGAATTAGTTTTAAAGAGTCTAGTCCTAAAAGAATGAATTACATTTGAAAGGCAGTAGACAATTGTTTTACATTAAAATTATTTTTAAATGAATCATCCCTAAATTAGAACACTTCCTCCGGAGTCCTCCTCTGATGCTACATCTCCAAAGGCATAAGGAATGCCCATATAAATTACTTCAAATTAAAGTAGATGACTCTGCTTTTTAAATCTATGCAAATTTTAGTTCTGATCTATAAAACCATCATTAATCTCAAGGTAGCAGTATGCAATTGATTCATAATCTGTCAGAGGCCCACTGTATCTGATATCTTTAGCTACAAAATTAACTTGCACAGCATTTCATTATCACGTACCCTCCATACTGGGGA